TCCATGCCCACAAGGATCATAATGCTGAGCCCACATGCTACACCTGTGGGATGCCATTTAGATGCAGTCATCCTATGAAGCCCTGTTGGGATCATCTGGCCGGACTAGACATTACATGATGGCAAAAAGGATGTTATGTCACTAGGCAATTCCAAATGAGCAGTACAAAGAATAAGAGCTAGGAAAGTGGACCTGAACTGTGCCTTGAAGACAGGTAGTATTTAAACAGATAGAGAGAAGTAAGAGAGGGAATTTGAGGCAAGGGAGAAAGCATGACAATGGTATGGAGGTGGGAAAGTGCAAAATGTATTTGGGGAATCATTTTTACTACAGCAGAGGACAGATTTTGACTAGCAATTCTGGCATCTAGGGTAAAGGCCACAGAATGGACTTGGGGCAAGGAACTCAAAAAGCAATACCAGCCACTGTGTTATTGATAAGGACTTACCAGGGAAGTAGCTTTGGAAGAAGGGAGGAGGTAGTATCATCTATTAGCTTCCTAGTTTAACTCATCATTTTTGCTAAGTGTGTTATATGTATGTTATATTTTTTATGTATATCATCTATAAAACTGCATTTCAATATAATCAGGTGTTTCTGTCTATTGAAAGAACACAAGTACTATCTAAATTTTGGTACCTGGCCTCCCTGGTACTATGTAGAGGGAAATAACAAGAGATCAAGTTGGACAGTTGGGCTGAAATCCTTACCAGACATTAAAGTAATTTCATTATATTGGAAATATTAACAGAATAAGAGATTATTTCCATCATTATCAAGCATCATTTATTGAAAGTAGAATCTGTGATAAACTATAGTACACTCGGGGATCCTCATGACCCCCACTTTGAGAATCAGGGATCTCTAGATAGCTTTATCACAAAATTATGACTTGAAGTTATTCCAAAGAATAGATGTATGTACAATGCTTAGAAAGTAATGGGTTACTAGCTGTGTGACCCTGGGCAAGTCATTTAACCCCAATTGCCTAAAAAAAATTTTAAAATTATTAAAAAATTTTTAAAAAAGAAAGTAATGGAGTCAGCCTGTAGAAGAGAGAGGACTCCCTTGACCTTCAGCTAGAACATTTGAGGTTAATAATTACACCCAGAGAAATCATTTGTTAATCTAATGACTGCTTTCCAAGGTAGTGGTTGCTTCTATGTGGAGGCAAACATGCTTTTATTCCAGGCACATAATGTCCACAGCACAGAACCCAGCTGGACTCCTTCTCCAAAAGCTTATCAGCTCTGGAAACTGCCCAAACTGCCCACCATCATGATTGTCCTTTGAAGGGGCCGCTTCATTGCTTTCCTTTTATTATGCGGAGTTGTAGGGAGGTCTGTTGATTTACTGATTAGCCATATGACCTTTCTGGTTAAATGCCCCCCTACTTTGGAGCCCTCCTGATAAGACTTGGGTCAGACGGTACAAAAGTTGGAAACCAACCCCTGCTAGACCAGAAGAGACGGCAGCCATGGCAAAGCTCATCCTCCTCACTGGTGAGTCAATGCTTTAAGGGGAAACTCAATCCCTGGTGCCTTTCTTCCTTCCCTTTTCTTTCTGGGTCCTTTGTAAAGAATCACTGTGGATGATATTCAGAGATTTAGAGCTAGAAAGAGATCTTAGAGCCCATCAGATCTAATCCTTCATTTTTAACAAATGAGGAAACTGAAGGACAGATCGGTTAAGTAACTTGACCAAGTGTCAGGCATCTAGTAATTATCTGAGGGGGCATCTGGACCCATTTCTTCCTGTGTCCAAGCCCAGTGTTCTGCGTTCCTACCTATTTTAACCTCATTATACTTTATTTTCTTCCATTCCATCTCTGATACTTTCACAACCTGCCTTACATAAGCAACTCCTGGACCTCAGTTTCCCTACCTGCAAAATGTAAGGGGCAGAGATTCTTAACCTGGAGTCCATAAACTTGTGATATATATGTGTGTATACATACACTCATACATACCTATATATACATAAGCATATGTTAGGTGCTTTCTGTGTCATATATAAACCTACTGCAATATAATTGATCTCAATATAATCAATAATTGATATATACACTTACACATGTGTGTTCTATGTTATATATGTGTAATATATAACTATTTTCAATATAATTAGCTGGTTTTCAATATAATTTTAATAGACATGTATACATATATTCATAGATAATACATGTGTTATATGCTATATTGTGTTATACATAACTGTATTTCAATATCATTTATTTCCTTTATAATCTTGTGAATTTTTTTGGTCTTTAAAAAATTATTTTGTGAAAGGGCCCATGAATATCACCAGACTTCCAAAGGGGTCCATGACACAAGAATGTTACGAACCTCTGTTCTACAACATAAGCTCCCCAAGGGCAGTGTCTGCTTCATTTTTCTCTGTGTCCCCAGTGTCTTACTATCAAACCACCAGCAAGCATTTGCTGAGCACCGAATGTTGTACCAAGCATTGTGCTAGACAATGGGACAGAGACAAAAATGAAATCATCCCTGCCCTGGAGGAGTTATTGTACACAGTTGATAAATGCTTGTTGTGTTGTAACAAATTCTATGACACCTGAGCTCCTGCAATGGCCTCCCCATCCAACCTCTGGTTTTCTTGCTCCCATGACTTCCTGGAATTAATTCAAGATCTCTTCTCTCTGTTCCTGATGTTGACGCGGCCATATCCGGGGCTGGCTTTTTGTTGACCCCACTTCCCACCTCCCTCTTTACCTCCATGTTAGGTTGTTCCTATTTCTCCAGTTACCACCCTTGGTCTTTCTTCTTGGTTTCTCTTATTTACTAAATGAATTACAACAGCTAGGGGAAGAAAAGGAAAGCTGAAAAGTGAAAGTCTGGGTAGTGGAGAAGGGTCCAGGATGATTCATTTGCTCAGCTATGCAGCAACCTTTGTTGTAGTGAAAGCAGGACAGAGAGAACAAGGCAACTGTGTACACACACACACACACACACACACACATGCACACACACCACTTATTTTTTCAGATTAACTCTCCATGACATTTTCTTCTCACTCATTTGGTTGCATGCACCATAGAATTTGCACTGTTCCAGCCATCCCTTGAAAGACTCCATTCAGCACATTCTCCTCAAACAAATAGCATCTGATTCGAATCAGGTGAATGATTGGTGCAACCCAAGGCAGATGATGGTTAGAAGGAAAGGATGATTCTGCAGATAGAGCCTCTGTGTGTTCTGGGAACCCTAGACAACATCCTTCTGGCCCCCAATCTGCCCTCTGGCCTCCTAAAGAGTCTGGCTCTGACATGGGAAGGTGGAATCTTAAACTTCATTAAGTGAGACCTGGAATCCAGAAGCTTGGAGGGAATGTCCCTGCTCTCCTCTGCCCAAGGAAGGAGACATGAGAGCAGTCTTTAGTTACATAAATGTTTTGGACAAGAGGGACTAACCTTATCCAAGTTGGCTCCAGAGGTCAGAACTAGAGGCTATGGGTAGAAATGTCAGAGAGGTGGATTTTGGTTCAATGTGAGTTACATTTAGAGCTGTCCAAAAGCGGAAAGGACTGCCTTAGTAACAACAACAACAAAGCATTTCTAGTTGGTAAAGTACTTTATCTGTGCTATTTCCTTTGATCCTCACAACAACTCTGTCTTGGATCATTGTGTTGCTGAGAATAGCTAAGTCATTCACAGTTGATCATCATACGATATCGCTGTGACTGGGCACAATGTTCTCCTGGTTCTGCTGACTTCACATTGCATCAGTTCATACAAGTCTTTTCAGGTTTTTCTGAAAGCATCCTGCTGATCATTTCTTCTAGCACAATAGTATTCCGTCACAATCATATACTACAATTTGTCCAGTCCTTCCCCATTTTACAAATGAGCAAACTTAGAGGGTAAGTGACTAACCTAGGGTCACAGAGCTCATATATATCTGAAGCAGAATTTGAACTCCATCCTTGCTGACTCCAAGGCCAACACTCTATCCATTGATCCATCTAGCTGAAATAGTAGGCTCTTCTTTCCTGGGAACCTCCCTCACAAGCTGGATGACCATTTGTCAGGGATCTTACAGAGAGAACTCCTATATGGGTTAGGCCTGATGACCTCAGGTCCCTCTCTTCTTTGGAATTCTGTAATTCGCTGGGCAAGCAGCCTACAGAGTGGGAACGTCTACATGAGTGAGATCTCACCACCTTGACTTCTGGGTGCATTAATTTTGGTTTCATCCTTTGGTACATAATATCCTTAGCTTCCCTGAAAACCCACTTAAAACACTATGGCTGAGATAAGTTGGACCCCTAGTACTTATAAGACCGAGGGCATGAAAACAATTAGAGACACATAGATCATTCCCTGATAGAATATAAGCTCCTTAATGGCAGGGACTATGCAATTTCTGTTGTCTCCTCAGAACCTACCTAGTAGAGGGTCTGGTGTGTATTAGATACTTAATAAATCTTTGTTAATTTTTTTTTTCTTCCCTAGGTCTGGCCCTGGTGCTGCTTGCTCAGCTGGGTAAGTCACAAGCTCCTGCTTCCTCTCTCCCCACCCTACACATACACACTTGTTTTTCTAAGATCCTCATAGACCTAGCCAATTCTTAAATATCCAAACAGCAGCTAGTTGGTACAGTGGATAGAGTACTGGGCCTGCATTCAGGAAGACCTGAGTTCAAATTTTGTTTCAGACATTTATTACCTGTGTGATCCTGAGCAAGTCACTCAGCGTCTGTCTCAGTTTATTCAATTGTGAAATGTAATAAAGGCATAATACTGTCACCTGCGTCCCAGGGTACTTGTAAGGATGAAATGAGATAATATTTGTATAATGCCTGGCACTTAGTAGGCACTTTGTAATTAGTAGCTATTACTGTTGTTTTTCTATCATTTCAGTTGTATCCAACTCTTTGTAATCTCATTTGGGCTTTTCTCGGCAAAGACCCTGGAGAGGTTTGCCATTTCCTTCTCCAGCTCATTTTACAGATGAAGAACTGAGACAAACAGGGTTAAGTGACTTACTCAGGGTAATACAGCTAATAAGTCCATTTGAACTCAGGTCTTCCTTACATCAGGCCCTGTACTCTATGAGCTACGATGCCTCGCAGCTGCCCCTAGCTATTACTCAGTGCAGATCATTTCTTTGTACAGTATATAGGTCATTCTAGGAGCTCAGAGAAAGCCAATTTATTTTAGTAGCTGGAGCTAACTGGATTCAGAGTCGTCACTCTACTAACAAATCCCACAGTCAGGTGGAAAAGACTTTTGGATAAAATGTTGTTTGGGATTCTCCCCCAAACCACTGCCCTCCACCAGATTATTAAGAACTATCTGTGATCCTCCTGGAAATTCCATTAGCCTATAAAACACTGAGCTTTGAGTCAGAAATGACTGAGTTCAGAGGCAGCTCGGTGTGCAGTGGTTAGCACGAGCCTGGGAGTCAGGAGGACCTGAGTTCAAATCCAGTCTCAGACCACACACTTGACACTTACTACCTATGTGACCCTGGACAAGTCACTCAACCCCGATTTCCCACACACACACACACAAAGAGAAAATAAATGACTGAGTTCAATACCCGCCTAAGACACTTCCTAACTGTATGACCTTGGACAAGTCACTTAAACTCTTTCTGCCTCATTTTTCCCATCTGTAAACAGGGATCATAACTGTATCTACTTCACAGGGTTGTTGTGAGGAGCAAATTAAGTAACGTACATGAAAAATGTTTTGCAAGTGTTCTATAAATGCTAGTTATTCGTATTGCTATTATTATAAACTCCACCTAGGTGCCACCTCCTGAAGGATAACTGACAGCCCGCTACTCTCTTACCCCCATGTATTAGTGCCTTCCTGTACCCCTGAAATTACTCTATATCAAGTTCTCATTTATATTACCTTATAATATATAAGTAGAACACCTTATTTATAATTACACTACATAATTATATATAATTATGCTACATATTTATATATAATATAATAACTTCTATTTACCTGTGTACATGTTGTTTCCCCCAGTAGAATATAAGCTTCTTGAGGGCAGGGATTATTTCATTTTTGTCATTGTATTTCCCGTGTCTGGAAGACAGTAGCTACTTAACAAATGCTTATTGAGTACATGAGCAGGCTCTGCTGCTGTCCCTCACCATGACATTTGCTCCTTGCTGCCAACAGGCTCTGCCTACCATCTGACATGCTACTTCACCAACTGGGCCCAGTATAGGCCAGGCCTGGGGAAGTTCAAGCTGGATGACATTGACCCCTGCCTCTGTACTCACTTGATCTATGCTTTTGCTGCAATTAGTAACAATGAGATCACCACATTCGAATGGACTGATGTGGACCTCTACAAATCCTTCAATGATTTGAAAAACAAGTAAGGAGGAGGAAAAAGCGGCTAGTTTCCCAGTGGTTAGAGAACTGTACCTGGAGTCAGGAAGGGCTGAGTTCAAATCTCGCCTCAGACACTTTGTAGTTGTGTGACGTTGGCCAAGTCACTTGACCTCTGCCTCAGTTGCCTCAACTGTAAAATGAGGATAACAGAACCTACCTCACTGCGTTGTTGTGAGAATCAAATGAAATAATAACTATAAAGCATTTAGCACAGGACCTGGCACATAGAAGGTCTTAATAAATGCCTATTCCCTTCCATTCCATTCCATTCCCCATTGGTCTAGAAATTCCCCATTGACCGTGGACGTTCCTTTCCACACTAATATTTGCAATTTCCTCTGACAGAACAGAAGCTACATACCCTCTGCTAATGAGGCAGCTATGTCTTTAAGTAGGTACATGGCAGGTAAGCAAGAAGATGCTGATGGTACCTTCTGTTTTCAAGAATAAGCACACTGCAGTCTTGGTCCCAAAAGGCCAGAGAACACTCACTGACTATTTCAAGCCACGAGGAATGTGTAAATAAGTGGAGAAGACAACCCCCAAAAGCCCTCTGGCACCTCATCAGACCTGCTTCAGGGACTGTCCTGTCAAGCTACCCAACCAGTCTCTCTGACTATGAGAAACTATCAAGTGCAAGGAGTTTTTAACATTCCCTTTTTGTTCTCTCTGTAGGAACAGACAACTGAAAACTCTCCTGGCCATTGGAGGCTGGATCTTTGGAACTGCCCCGTAAGTCCAGTATCAGAACTGAAATCCAAAGGACTTCTGAGCTTCTCCTTAAGTAGGGAGGTGCTTTGCAGAAAGCCTAGGTCAGATTTTCCCCTGCCCTGAGGAATCTTACACTGTCAGACCAACTCCATAACTGAGAAGCAAAAAGGCCAAGACTAAAAGACATATACACAAAATAAGTAACTAGAGCAGAAATCATCTGAAACAAGGCCATTCTTCCTTGGGCTTCATTCCAGCAGATTTTTACAGACCTAGGAGATGGGAAACTGGGTCCTATTCTCAGCTCTGACAGTAACCAGCAATGTGACCTGGAAAAATCTCACCCTTTCTAAATCTCGAGCTTCTTCTCCTGAAAAATGGAAGTGTTAGGCTCTTTGATCTCTGAGATCTCTTCCAGCTCTGATATTCTACAATGATTGAAGAACAAAAAGGACTCAGCCTGGCTTAGATCACAGCTGGGACACATTGCTTAGCAATACAATTCACATTTAGGGATGGACATGACACTCTGGAGCACATACAAAAGAGGGTGACCAGGATGGAGAAGGGACTCCTGGACTGTGACATGCAAGGATCTGTTAAAGAAATGGATCCTGGGGCAGCTAGGTGACAAAGTGGATAGAACACTGGCTCTGAAGTCAGGAGGTCCTAAGTTCAAATCTAGCCTCACATACTTACTAGCTATGTGACCCTGGGCAAGTCACTTGACCCTGATTTCCTCCAAAAAATAACTTAATAAATTGATCCTGGACAAATAGCTACTTAGGGAAGCCATGATAACCATCTTCTAATATTTAAAGGGTTATCATGTGAAGGGAGTACATTTATTCCGCTTGGTTCTGGATGGATGATGTAGGAGCAATGGGCAGAAGCTGAAAAAAGGTAGATTTTGACTCAATAGAAAGCAAAACTGCCTTTAAAAAGTAGAATTATGCAGAAGAAAAATGGGTTGCCTCAAAAGGTGATGAGTTTGCCATCACTGGAAGTATTCAAGTGGAGGATGAAAGGTCATTTGCTGGGGGTGTTCTCAAAGAGACTGCTGCTTAGGCAGGGGCAACATTAGATGACTTCTGAGGTCCCTTCCAATTCTGCCACTCTGTGCTTTCTAAGGACCTCATTGTAATATGATCCCACAGCATGAACACTGAGGATCTGCTGCATTGGAGTCAGTATATTGGATGGGGGAGTGAATGACAAGGAAAGTATAGAGGTTCCCCATTTGAGGGGTTACCATTTTACCTCCAATTAGTTGGGGAAGCCATAGGAGCTCAGAAACTGTTTGAAAGATAATATATAATGATGAAGTCAAACAGGAGAGAGTTATGAACATTAAATACATTCTAGGAAGAAGGATAAGAAGGGGTAAGGGAGGAATATATAAAGGGATCACGATGATCATCTTATTAGATAGAGCTGAAGTTACGAGAGTAAAATAAGGGTAGGAGAAACAGGAGAAGGGATCTGGTCAGGGCTGGGATACACTTGGAGCTCTGAAGAATTTGGACTTGTTCAACCATACAGACGGACAGTGCAGTGAACCCAGAGGGAGATCAGAGTCTGGACATGAAGAATGACTAAAGACAGATTTTTTAAAAAAAAGGAGTTAGCTTCTAGAAATATTGGGAAGATTAAAAACAACAGGCTTTGAGAATAGAGAAAGTGGAAGGAGTGAAGGACACTGAAGAGATGCCAATCACCAAACCTTTGCAGAAGTTTCCACTGGAGAATAAGGGATAGTCACATGGTGTTACCATGATGATTCAAGACAGGACCATGTCTCTGGTTTCAAAGTGTGAGCTGGTCGGGGCAGCTAGGTGGCACAGTGGATAGAGCTCTGGCCTTGGAGTTAGGAGGACCTGAGTTCTAATCTGGCCTCAGACACTTGACACTTACTAGCTGAGTCACCCTGGACAAGTCACTTAAACCCATTGCCTAGCAAAAAAACAA